TCGCATCCTACTTCTGAGAGTATTACTTTTGGTTGTTATTAACGATACTGTTTAGAAAAGAAAAAGTTCTATTTTATTTTAATCGCTACCACTTGAACGTAAAACTTAGACAATCGAATATTGTTTATATTATAAAAGGAAAACACACACACGCATACACTTGCCTGTACAGTTATGTAATTATTACTTTTCCTGTATAATGTGGGATATGCAATTCAAACACGGCCCATAATGGATCCCGCCATAGGAAATTAACTTGCGTATCGTGTAAGCATCATTTATCTTCGCAGGAAGGTGAGCTAAGACCGAGGATTCCACGTATAACCCGCATTTACTAGACATCGGCGCGCACGGGATTAATCGGCGTAAGAAGAAACAGAATAAGAGAGACGACTCGCTTTAATTAAGACACGATTCTGGGTAAATACGACCAGGCTAAACCGCCGTCGCGATCCTCAAGCGCGTCCGCGCGTGCAAAAAGACACTGCAGATGGTAGAATGACGTTGATCGTGTGATTCTCTTCCTTTTTTCAAGCGTAGTATGTGCACAGTGTATTCAAATGCACTTGAACGTATGGCGCACGTACATAATGACGCGGAGAAAGAGCGAGAAAGAGCGAGAGAGAGAGAGAAAGTGAAAGCGAAATGGCAAGCTTGTGCGCGCGGATGCGTCGAGTGCATGGAGTTGCATAAAAAAGCCACCATGCTACACTTAGAGAAAAATATAGCAACATAAATGACAGTTATACGAATTTAGTATGGAAATCTGAACGCGGCTACAATAATTACGGTCCTCGGAGAGAATTATATAGTTCACGCCTATGCCGTACCATTCGGACTTTAACTTACCCGCGATGGCTGTAAAATCATTTAGCCGAACTATGCATCGATCTCACATGCAAAACTCGTATATCGTTATCACCTTCATAAATACATAGTTGTGCACAACTATGCACTTTTTTTACTTTATTTACCGTATTCTTTTCCCTGAGTGCGGCTCGTCTCTTTAACGCCGATAGTGCCGGCGCGAATCGCACATGGCGGATCGCCACGCCACGTCTTATCGCCCATTATCCCGGACTCTCACTTTATTAGCCGAGATCGCGTGGGAAAATGAGTCAATGAGCCTGTTAAAGCGGCCGAATGAAACCGCAGATGTTCGAAATCGCAACCGCTCGACGCGCGATCAAAGCTCACGGAGAGCTCCGAGACAGACGGACGGACGGTGATTTATTTCTCCCGTCTGCTCTATTTTCGTCACGGCACGCAGCCGTATCTTCCCAGGCTGGTCCAGGATATACCCGCGCGCGCGTCGTTCGGATGAACGGCTCACCGGAGTCGTTTGACACTCGGCAGCGCACCACGTGCGGCCCCGCTCTTGCCCTTGCTAGACGCCATTTCCGGTGAGCCGCACCCAGAACGGATAAAGGAAATATTAATCTTGCTATTCCTGGCCCAATTCGAGCAACGCCACCGGAATCGCTCCAATATTGATTTTGGATATGCACGAATCGCCACTCGGCACCGCCAATCGGCGCTCCCAGTCAATATTTATAGAATGCAAAGTAGGCGAGGTTTCGATATGCGCTCGGGATCGCACGGGGAAACATTGCATTGTTAACGATGTTTCTTCGTCCGTTCGATAATGCGCGAACTGTTATTTGAATGGATGATTCGCTGGGCAGATATTAAACGATAACGTTTTTACGTCCGATAATTGCATATCATTGGTGGTACGTGTGAAATATAGTGCTGTTAGTATAAATTGGCTGGCTTCTGCATTAAGACACTTAGGTGCTGAGTTATTTCTCAAATTCGCGCATATTATTCGGATACTAGCCGGAAATAACCGTCCGCCTCAGCACAGAGGAGAATAATCTAGAGAAACGGCAAATTTTACTGTCGCAGGGAATAAACAACATTACAAGGTGCTTCTTAAGAATCGTCCGATATTTTAGGAGCTGACTTTCGAGATCATTTTATAAGGAAAAGTTCGTATGAGCATATATTCACTTCTTTATAAAATAACGGACAAATAGATAACTTACCATCAGGCGTTTTTCATTTTTCTGAGACATTAACTACAGAATGAAAAGTTGTATGTTAAGAACGACCCACTGAAACTTTTGTTACTTTAACACGGAGAGTATACTAAAAAGGGCATAAATATATGTTAAATTAACACATTCATTTTGAATGTGAAATTAACACAAGAATTTCAATTGACCGATTTTAACACGATATTTTTCGCTGTATACATTAATCAAGCCACTCGGCATTAATCATAATGCCTGAAGGACTCGGGTATCCGGGACTCCGAGTAGTACTCGAGTACCCGGATGTAGGCATCGTTAGTCTATAGTTCCCGCACAAAACACACGTGTTCCTTGTGATATTCAAATAAGGCAACTCATCAATGACTTCTCGGTGGGAAATATTCATTAGTTACTTTACCGTTGACGAGACGGGACAGCGATTAAACAGAAAGCGTCGCTGGCAATTTTTACTCGGCCGACGGAATACTCGCGTGTCAACATAACTTATCGCACGTGTAACGTAACGGCCGACTTTAAAGTGACGACGTCGGCTATTTGCGAGGCATTCGGCGAATAGTGACTCCGTAGTAAGAGCTTAATATAGCGCGGTCATGAGCCTCGAATTCTGGGCCAATAATGTCATGGTTCCGTCGCGGGCACGCGCTCTCTTCCTGGAAGCGCGCGAAAGGGAGGAAAATCGAGGTGCGTTATGCGAAAATCGCGTTTCTCATTATCCAACCGGAGGAATCCGGTCACCGCCGATTATTAACTTACGCTCACTTCTGTCACGGAGCGCGCGTTTTATGTCGGTAGTATTCTTACGTTATTAAGAAGAGCCGCAAAAAGAAGTGGAAGCGTACGCGTTGGCGTTCGCGCGTTTAACGCGTCGCCGGATCGCTGTGGCCGGTTTCGATTTCCTTTGAGGCGGACAAAGCGCGACAAAGAAACTGACGTTAAATCGATTTCACGTGTATAGAATAGCGTCGTATAACGGTCGTTGAAGTGGGCGTTGGCTTTCTTTCGAGCATGAAACCTCCGGACAGTCCATTTCGTTCATTACGAGCTTCGTTGGATACAAAACGACTTACTTTCGCCAACCAAACTTTCCTTTGGTCGATAAACCGTAATCCAACCGGCTCTCTTTCTTCGGCCTCCCTCTAAACGTCCGTATGGCTGCAGGATGCTATCGTTCCATCTCGAAGGTGCCCCCGTTCGAAATAAAAGTATATTTACTAAGAATTTGCGAGATATCTTCTCCCGATGACTTGATCACACAGGGATACAGGATATCCCATCCGCCGGAAGGTGTTCCCTCAGCCGTTGTTTGTTCGGAAGCGACTCGGAATCGAGCCGGAGACTACTGAGATTCAATATTTCCGCTCGGTTCAGGAAATCGCTCTCATTTCGACCCGCTTCGTTTTGCAAAATAACGTTCTCGCAATACGTGCCACCGTGTGCAATTGACGCTCAACAAGAAAATCGCACGCCTTTGTCCAGACAGAAGATAATAAGAAATTCGTTTGCGTAATCACGTCCGTGTAATTTCCCGCAGTTCGCGGTGTGTTAAATATTCAAATTACGCAGAAGAGGAAAGAGAGACCGGGTGGAAACGGGAAATCTTGCAATCTTGGAAATCTCCGCGGTCTAACCATCGGCGGACAATTTCGAGAACTAATCTTTTCGATTACCCCGCAATCGGCGCGCAATTGCGACTAAGCCCCTTTAATTTGCTCGCGTTGCTGCCCCGACCGAGTCTGACTTCTTCCCGCGAGAAGGTATCGAGAAGCAGCCGAAGTAATGCCGAAGTTAAGTTACCGTTATTTCACTTTGTTCATACAAACGGGTTGCGGGTATCCTCGTTTCTTTAATTTACGTCTGACCTCGCGTAAATGGACCGTCGACATCGATTCGTCCGCTGAAAGATGAACTCGAGATTCGCGTGGAAGGATAACCGGACGTGATAAATGGCACAGGTTGAATAGCATTAATCCAACTGGATATTCGCCGTATTGGCAGACGCAGGAGCCAGCGGACATCGGTATTCGAGGCAACGTATTCGCACTCGACAGTTGAGAAAGTCAGGCGAGTTTCGCAATATCCAGACACGAATCGACCGAGCAAAGAAGACTGGATGTCGGTCGCGTTCCCCTTCACCGATCGGTTGACCACCACTCGGCCTCTGAATCTGACTAGCTGTCACAGAAGCCGGATGGTTTCTTCCTCAGACTATCGAGACTTTTCCGTCTAATCCCGCCGCCTGGCGCGCCGGGGGACGCGCAATCCCATCGTTCGAAAGGAAATCCAATGGACACGTGTATATTTCACAGTCCGATGTGAATCTTCACGCTCACGTTCACCCGTAGCCCTACCAAAAAAGGTCATGTCGATCATATCTACGATCACAACGTCGTATCTACAGTGGGACGTACGTGATCATGCTCGATGCGTGATTATTTTCTTCAATTTAAAAGCCATCCCGTCGACTATTTCGATCGTGACGACTATTTTATTCGAGAACGTTCCGAGCGTGACCCGTGAATCCGTGTGTGTTGCGCAAATCTGCACGTAGGTACCAATGCACACGTGATCGTCTCGAGAGAGACGTACCAGCTCACACTCGACGCTCAAGGGGATATTCCTCCTCGGATCTCCCCCGAACTGAACTCACCGTTTGGCCGCTCTCCGTTCCCGTAAGAAATAACAAGTACCTCAGGTGCGTGAACAATGCGATCGGCAACAAGTTAACTTCGCGCGCGAAGGGAAGGAAAAGGGGGTAAGTATCTGCGGAGAATCAGTACGTGGGGAGGGGGAGACGGTGACGGTGAAAAAAAACTTGGCGAATGCGTACGCATATATTACCGCAGCGCGCGCGTCCTTCGAGCCGGCACCCACATCCCCAGGTGTGCAGAAAGACATTCTATCGGCGCGTCCCATATCCATGTGATTACCGGCGATCGCACTCACCTTCGCTAATAGAATCAGCAGCAGCGGAATGCCACCGAATCCGGACAGCGAACAGGACATCTTACGGCGCGGCATCCTCGGTCTCACATCCAACGTCCCGGTGTCTCTCCCTTCCGCAGCGCAGCCACGCCTGGGCTCACCGGCACACTCCGCACGTCACTTCACAGAACCGACACCCACACTCGCCCCGAGAAGACACCCCTCAAGGCGGCCACAGTCAAGTATCGAGGAATGCTTGAGGAATGTACGTGTCACATCGATTGATCGACGACTCACTGAAACGACTCCCTTTTAACACGGCGCGCGTCTGGTATCACAAGAAATCGCGTATCCCACTCCGGGCACCTCGCGGAGGTAACACCTGTTCGATCGTTTGACAGCTACGCCGGTGTCGGAGGAGGTAGTGACGGCGGTAATGGCGAAGGAGCCGAGGGACCACGGTGGTAGGAACGACGGTTGCCATATCAGCCGGCGAACCGCGTGCCGTCGGAACTCCTCCTGACTGACCGAAGACTGCGAGTGTGTGTGCGTGTTATCGCGGATTCCGAATACCGGAAATAATGACGCGTGCGAGCGCCGCTGCTTTTAATCTCCGGACGTCCCCACCGCATCCGTTTGGTCAGGTGTTCGGAGTTACGTAAGACTTCGCGGATTCAGCACGGTGGGTCGATCCTTTCTCATCGCCTCGGTCACTCCTCTCGCGGAGAGCACCTCTTCGCACGATTTCCGCGAAGATCAAGCGTTTTTGCGATTTTGCGCGGGCTTTCCCGGGCTCGCTCGTTCTCCCCTTTCTTCAGGGGGTACAACGAGACGTGGAATGTTTCCTTCCGTTGATTTCGAGCTGACCGTTTCCTCCCAGGATGACTTCCGACTCGTGTCTCCCTTACTTTTACCTCGCGAGCGCTTCTTCTGGACGCCGACGTGGAGAATACTTGAAAACGCGCGCTCGGTATGTCCGAGTAAAGAACTATTTCGAGCGGCGAGAATAATCAGCGTAAGACCGTCGTGCCTTTATCTCGTCCCTTGCGCGTTACCGCTGCCGTTCCTCGCTCGGCCCTTTTTCATGTTAATCACTAGAGTACCGGTTCGTTCGCTCACCGACGACCACCGGACGGCTTCGTTTCCCTTGACGTTACTTTTCAGACACGTCGTCATGTAAATATATCGTATAACCTACTCCCCGAGAGGGGAGCGACTGCTCGTACGTTGAATCAATTCGCCGGTTTGCGAATCCCGAGCATGAGAAGCGCGCCTATTGCGTATCCGTTTTTTTCCCTTCCATCCGCGTTATCCCGCGGCGCGCATTAATTCCCCTGTCGCGCGCCGGACCTGTTCGCGAAACAAGATACGATATCAAATATATACCCTGTACCGGATTAGTTTCATCCCTCCGTAACCATGCGGCCCGGCCACTTCAAAGTGGCGGGAGGAAATAACGAATTGCGGGGGAGCGACGCACCGATGTGACAACGATGAGGTGATGGAGCCAAACATCGGAGGTAGCTGGAAGCGCGCGATTTCGGTCCGCGATCAGAGCTTGATCCAGTCGTATCCCTCGCTTTTGTCGCGATACTTTTCCCTCGGGTCTCAATGCGACGGCACTTAATCGGCCGCTCGACGTTTTCCACCCCCTGGTCGCAGAATCGCCGGTGAAATCGTAAAGGAAAGGGGGAAGATCCCGGTGAGAAGGTATCCCGTATTCTTCTCCCGTGCGATCTTGCACTCGTGCGCACGTGTCCAGCTGGATCTCCTCTGTTTTGATCTCCGCGCTTTATCCGTTGTCACTGATAAAACATACAAGTTCAAGCGACGTGTGACGCGCAACGTGAAGCGATTACATGTGAATTACGGCCCCGCAGCTGGCCGTAATTCCTTCAGCGGTCTCTTTCGAACGGACACTTACCGAAGGAGGCCTCTTTCCGTCGCCGGTGATCCCCACGGCGCGCGGAATATCACACGTGAGAAGACCTGCCGCACGGCTTGTCACAGTTACTGACGCGAGCCTATCCTGAATCACTGATCACGACAAAAGCCATGGGAAGCGAGAGCGCTGTCTTGTGCATCATCGAAGAGAGAGAGAGAGAGAGAGAAAGGCCCTTCTCGGTTCAACAAAAGACGACACACCTGAGCATTATTTTGAGGCCATTGTCTCACCCTGCCTGCGGTGCACCTTCTTTCCTCGAGACGTCGGAAAAAGGCTCTACCCGCGCGTCGCGGAACGTCATGAAATATCGATGAAGATGATCAGATCTGAGGGAAAGGCCGCGATGAGACGGCAAACGAGCGACTTTAAACAGCCGAACGAGGAGCGAGGAGTCTTCTACCGGAGAGCGAACCGAGGCTACCGAGGTATTATATCCAAAACCAGGACACTGCTCGTATCACTTCACCGGCCCACCGATCACGCTTCGTTAGCACGAAAGAGAAGAACATCCCCGGGACTCGCGATCTCGTTCACCACTGCGGTCGCTCGGTGATCCGGCCGGACATCCGCCTGCCATCTCTGTCACCCTGAGGTACCGGTGAAAGCCCCCGGGGAGGAGGAAGTCCTGGTTCGCCGGCGGCCGCCGCGTGTCAATGTCGTGCTCCGAAATCGGACGCAAGCGCGGCGAACAGGAAGAGCCGGGAAACGGACAGCAAACGGAGCGTTCAGCTTGCTTTCGTACGGCCGGAGGTGTACTCGGTCGACTGACGCGCTTTCATGACGCCTCACCCGGGGCAGCCGACCACCAGGGCCAACGGGACCTCGGTTGCTCTCTCGATACTCCACTCCGTGGCTCCGACCGAGGCAGAGCCAGCTAAACCGCTCTCTGCTTCGTCCCTCACTCCTGCCACCTCGTCGAGCAACCTGACTGCCTTTCCATTCCAACTCTGGCTCCCTCTCCTTCCCCCCTCTCTCTCTCTTCTCTTCTCTCTCTCTCTCTCTCTCGCTCGCTCGTTCTCTCTTTCTCCAATCCACCTCGCTTTTGCCTCCTCTGCTCTTCCAACCTGGCCTGCCTCAGCTAGACATCCAACGCAGCCGCCGCCACCACTACCGCACCCGTTGCTTCCACTTCTCCACCTACTGTCGATCGGTCCTTCTCTTTCTGCGGCTCTCTTTCCCTCCCGCTCGCTCTTCGTGCACGTACACATTGGGATGCACGACAAGCACGGCGGTATTGTATGTGTGGTGCACAGTAGCGTAGTTAGAAGGTGAGAGTTCAAGTTGCGCGCGGTATGACGGATGGGGCTTGGCTACTCGTGAATGCACCTTTTTTTTCGTTTCTCTCTTCAAATTCCGTAGTGCAATCTTGGTGCGAGTAACTCGTTGTGTTTATTACAGATATATCTTGTTACATCTCCCGCAGCTGTGAAGTAACCTACTGGCAGTCATTCACCTCTTTCCCGTATTCGCCGCACGTACTGAAGTTAAACACGTGTCTACGGCGAAACATGTGAGTGTGTTAAAGCGAGAATGTTAAAACAAACGGACGATGTGGTCCGCTTAGAGAAACTCTTTTCGGTAACCAGAGAGAAAAATCAAGTTCGTCTCTGGAAGGGAGTGTCACGTCGAGGCTTTTATCCACTTCTTTATTTCCCATTTATTTCATTCCCGTAATCTGAACCATTTTCCCTCGGTATCCTTTCCCGTTGTTCCCTTTAGATTTTCGAATATACCTGAGTTTTTAAGGACGAGTGCAACCATAACCAGACACGTGACCAGGAGACGCAGATAATAGCTCCACGCGCGCTAGATAATTTCAGGTAGAACATCCCAACGACAGACATTTCTTCCGACGATTCGGTGCAGTCTTACGAGAAGTACACCTATCGAGCCACAAGCCGTATCTGCCCCGGCATATACGACAATGGCAATCGATAACTGCCATTACTCAATCGCGTATCGCCCACGTGTCACGTTAAACGATAGGATGGGAAGGTCTCCGGTAAAGCCAAGCCGGTGGCGTACGACACTGAAATAGACGTGGCGCTTGAGAGGATCACGAAAATTCCGTACCGTCGCACCTGACTTCAAAGCCATGTTGACATCGTCACCTTTTGTGCCTTCTTTTTCCCAGGGTAACGTCGTATTCCGCCCTTCCCTGTAAGCCCCCATAGTGCGGCGAACCAACACCCTCGTCGGTTCGTGCGAATGTGACGTGCGCGCGTGCGTGTCTCCTCTGCGTGCAAGTGAACTACCGCGGCCTACACATCTATCCGCTACCTCTACTGTTTCTTCCTGTACCTACCACCATCTCTTTCTACACCCGCCTGCGTCACCTCACCGCACTTCACCGTACGCTCCCCCGGCCTTTGCCCTCCGCACAGTGTTGTTCCCGAGGCGAGAGCCTCCACCTGACACATGCGCGCGAGCGCGCATACATACGAGTGAACCTCGTTGATGTACCGCCTTTATTCATAGAAGTCGTTGCTCTCCCACACCTACGCAGGTGCCCTTGCGCGAAGCCAGAAACGTAGCCGGTGGAATTGGCGCCCGCACCCGCGAACGCCCGAGTCCATGTAATTAAGCGCGTTTAATGTCCCCCCCCCCCTCCTCCCTCTCAAAAAAAGTGGACGACGAAAATCGATGAAACGGTTATGAGGAAGTCGGTGTTCGGTTAGTTTCGGAAATTTTGTCAGACCATACGGCAGGAACGTGAATGCATCGCGCATGAAGAAACCGTTGCACTTTCCACTGTCCTGATTCTTTTTTATGTATAAATAATTTATGAGCGCTCTTTGCGCAATGACAGCTTGATGAGTAGCGAAATAATAGCTCGGCAAGAGATATTCGGTTTTGACGTCGAAAATACAATCCAGCTTACGTCATCTGAGTCACGCAACTTTCACCGTGTCGCAGATATTCCGTTTGGCACAAAAGCGTGGTAAATGTAAATGACGAATTCGCAAAAAGAGATGCAGCGCGTTTATCTATGGGAATTTATTTATATATCCAGAGCGTGTGTGTGTGTGTGTGTGTGTGAATTCACAGATGACACAATGAACGAGTCGACGATCTCTTGTAAATATATATACATTATGTATAATTTTATAAGGAATAAACTCTACACATTTTTCATACATGTGCGAACACGTGGAATTGTATTCATAGATCATTGCGGCTATAAATAAAGCGATATCAGTCTGTGCGCGGGGAAGCTTTATATGCTCTTTTTAGTTAAAAATTATTTCCAATGGGTTTGTATTTAAATAAAATCTACAGGTGCGAAACAGCTCATAGTGATGTGTAACAGCATATTTTACATTCAATCGCACGAGTCAGATAAGCGGAATAAAGTTGCTCGAACAATTTCTGTCATTACATCAGAAGATAATGTCGTTTTCTACCATGACATTTGTTGTTGTTACTTAAATATAGAAGAAATGAAATAATGCATACAGTTGTATTTATAATTGCATGAAAATGTAATATAATTTCTCTATTAGTGAGAAAACGGAGCAGAATGATACCGATTCGATATCATTGTTCCATGTTGGTGCAACCGACGGTAAGTAAACGGCAGGATAAATACGATGATCAATGGAGCGATTTCGTCATTTTTCAACGATAACTGGTTAAATGTATTCGACTGCCCACAACCTCGAATAAATATGCATATTTACGAGCTGTATGGCATGGACTAAGAAAACTGACGTCACCGACAGGTTAAGGTACCTTTTTCTCATCCTCGATCTCTGCCTATCATGACGTCACCGTCGGAGAAGTTGGACCGCACAGAAGACCTTTCGCGAATAGATCTATTCCTCACCAATACCTTACGCGTAGAAGAAACGACTCGTCTTACATTAGTATTCGACTAGTCGCTGACAGTATTTATCTCGCGGTGGAAGTGTTGAAGAAGGAAATTTGAAGAGGTATAAAATTATTGTCTTACTACAGACGTTAGTCGAATAATATATATTATATATATTATATATCAATTATATATAATATATTAAATATATATTATATATTAAATATATATTATATATTATTGCCAAATGAACCGTGTTAACGCACTTTTCTGGCTAATCAATCGAGCACACCTCTGTATATGTGTACAACGACGTATATAAACTGGCAAAAACAGATAGCATTGTTAAACAATTTTCAATGGTACTTTCATTATATACACTCGAGACCCACGTAAGTTTTAACAACAACAGAAACTATGTTTCTGCGAGATAATCCTGTTCTTTGCAAGTCTGACTTAAGCTCGAGTCGATTAGTAACTAATTTCGTAATATCGATGATCTCTTGCTTTCGGATCTTGAATCTTGATGATCGAGGACTTCTACGAGTCGGAGACACCTGACAACTCGCGATCTATCGCGCATGCGCACGTACTGGTCCTGTCCGCCAACGTCGGACTCCGGCGAGTAACGTAGCAAGTAGATGTAGCCAGTCCTGGACGGACGGCCGCCAATCCAGTATCTCGCGAATTGCTCGCTCGATCTACGATCGATCGATTAGATCCGACGTGCGAGCATACCTCGCCGGGGAGAAAACGAATAAAAAAAAGGAAAGAGTGATTTCTGGTCAGTGCTGATTTGGGATTACCCTATCTCGCGAGGTAAGCGTAGCTGCATGATCTTTTTCCATATTTTCTCGCAACTCTAATACAGATTGAAATATTGACGTATGAAAGATTCATTTTCATCTTATTTCCGTTACATTTTATATTCTACATTTTATATTCTATATTTCATGATTTTTGCTTCGAATAAAATATCGAAATTAAAAACTGAAGAAGTTGAAGCTAAAATTAGTGATGTAAATCAAAAGATATAAATATATAAATATTAAAAGTACTTAAAGCGCAAGTCACGCAGATTACTTAAAAGTAGCCCGGATGTGATTACACTGCAAACGAATGCAGTACAATTTATTAATCACTAGTCTGTAAATTAGAGAGTTCGCGGACGGCGATTAACATCAATTATCTTAACATAAAGCCGGCCTGTGCGACTAAACCTAAACCTAAACATTTCTATTGAATTATTATTGGTTTTCTGGTCGCGACGTTACCAGCTCCATGTAATAATTAATCTTCCGTCATCGAAAGAGCCGCAGCGCCTTTGACTGGCCGCAAACAGTGACCGGCATTATGCCGCGCGTGTCATTGGTCAAACACATCGTGATTCCTGACGTCGCCGGGTTAAAAAGTCCACTACCGCGCGAAAACCGTCCATAATAATCTTTCGTAAGACTCAATCGCACCGCACTTGAGTGTGCTTTTTTTACATTCCTCGGAGCAAAAAACCGTGGTTTCTAATCAGATTTCGGAATACATACGGAGGACAGATAAGTCTGCAATATTGTGTGACAAAGTTGAAATTCGTTTCTTCAAGCGTGCGCGATACGACGAGCAGATGATCATACTTCGAGGATAGGCGGAAGGTCGAATCCCACTTTCCGACTTCGCGGATCTCTCGGCCATGTTAGGCGTGTTTCAAGGACCGCTCGGAGTAAATACCGACGTGCACCATTCAAGCGTCGCTACAGACGTTACAAACGTTCATTAAGTGCTCCGTGAGCGATACACAACGCATAAGAACAGCGACCTAATCAACGAGCCGTTGATTCCACGCGAGACTCTTTCACGCGATACGAGATCTTGATCCAGAATTACGAATTAGATCTTTAACATGATTAATTTGAAAATGGAAAAGAAAGAAAATAGCTATAATTATACGACAATTTTCATGTGTTGAAAGTAAAGCTTCTTTGAAAACATTTATCGCTCTTGTGTATTAATTAAAAAGAAGATTCGCGAGAGAAAGTCGTGAAATTCGGAAATTTCTTCCGATAATTGCTGTCGTGTGTTCCTCGCTACCCGGACAGCGCAAACTTCTTAAAGACTTCTTCAAGTCTGAGAAACATCCAAGAAATAGGACGCTTTTCGGACGTCTTTAAGACGTCTCTTAGAAATGGTCTTATCTGGTTTTAGTTTTGTCGATATCACATTATCAGGAGGTAGATTTTTGCACGAAACGAATGTAGACCGCGTTTATAGAAAGATGAATAGGACTGTTTCGCACGGTCGGAGTCGGAAAAAGAAAAGAACGTCATGTGACCAAAGTGGAGGCGAAAATAGGCGTACCGTACGCGCGCCAAAAACATAGCTCGTGGCTTATAGTGCTTCTTACCATCGCGTGGCTCGCCGAAAATAGAATCGCGCACGCTGATACGTCTTTCCACCCACTTTTTACAATTTTTTCGTGTAAAACAAATTTATTTCCGATATTGCAAAATGTCAAAGTTCGGAGCTTCTCGTATAATATAAAATCCGCATTGGGGGAAAAAACTGTACGTGATGCAATTTAACGAATGTTTTGCAAATGACAACGAAACGTTTTGTGAACGATGCAGCGGCAGGCACGTGTGCAAATTTTATGTTGACACTATATACACGTCAAGATTTATGCTCCCTGTTTGTCAAGCTCCCGAAACGTCTGGCGTTAACGAAACTTTAATAAAAAAGGGTGACGCAGAAACGAAACGATGGAATACGAAGCCGAAATACAATTCACGTTACTTTTATACATCACCACATTATTCGAGCGTTCTCTTTTTACAATTGGACAATATTAAGACGATGTTATTTGTTAAACAAAATATCGAAGATGCCATGAAACGTTTTACTATCCGTGCGCCGGCAATAAGAAATCCGTTCGTTGAGAAGCAAATGACGGCATGAAAGTGGGTGGGTTATATTTAAGCAGGTTAAACAAAGAGCGGAGAATAGCAGCGGGTGAAGGCAAGAAAACACACATATGGCGGCGACGAAGAAGAAGATGAGAGAGAGAGATGAGATGAGATTCCGGGCGCCGGGAGTTGGCTGGACTATTGCCATCCACGTAATATCAGACATCGTGATTAAATTTACACGAAATTAGGTTTTATATTTCTACACGTGTCGCCTCGATATATGAACGGCATAGTCTGTCAAAGCTGAGAGAGACACCAGCTCAACATTGTAAAGTAAGAATATTCTTGAGATCAGTTGCGATCGTCAAAACGATATATTTAATAACGCTTTACGTGAGAAATTAATCGCGTCGCAAAAGATATTTTATTCCCTCGACTGACGGCAAATATAAGTTTGTATTGCTGCTACGGCCGTCGGAATTCAATGAATGCCCAATGAAAGAAACTCATTCATATTCGATGGAACCCTGTGATATTGGTGGTTACCACCTTTTGCGCAATTGCTTCCTGAATATAAACACGGCACTTTCTCTCGTTGACACGGTTATAATCTTGTAACGTTTATACGTTTTCACCGTCCTACGCATGCTGAATGAACCCGACACCGTAAGCAGTGTGATTCTACAATTAACAGCACTAGATGCCAGACTGCCGTTACATAATATGTACTTGGAGACAGTATGCTACCGCGTGTTACATTGAGCAAAGTTTATTCGTAGTAGTGATGTCAATATGCACCTGAACATTATATAAATTATCCGGGTGCTATATACTTACTAAAGTATCAATTATTATAAACAGCAGTTTAGAAAAACTGGTTGCCGATGATGAATAACAGATTGCAGGTGAATATCATTAAAATGATCATTTTCGGCCTCGACTATACGTTCTTTTAGTTTCAACTCAGTTAGTTCAAAAAATAGTAATAGTAATATGCACGCAAAGTCACAATCATTGACATTATAATGATATTTACTAGAAAGATAGTTTTCTCGACTATAATCTTTTTCACTTATGCGATTACAGTTACGAATGCCAGACATTTCTTTCTCAATACCCTGGGTCATAAATATTTCCATCATATACTAGTTTAGAAATTATTAGGTTTATACTGACAGCACTAATTCATGTAGCACCAATAACGCAATAATCACGCGCTGCGATGCATGTCAATCTAGCAATAATGTTAACGACGTAACACAACCTCGTATTGACGAGACATTCTTCCACTGTTTAGTACAATGAATGTACCACTTGTGTGCGATAATCTCCAGTATTCCAAACAGCATCAGCCGCTATTAACCGCTACATTCTGTACAGTTGAAACTCATAGCTCTCTAATTTTACTAAGATCTGAAATATATGCACGGTTACTTAAAAATAAATTGTTTCGCATGTTTATATGTTAACAACGGTGCATAGAGGACGATTTTCACTTTGACGTGTTCGAAAATCGAGCAGCTCTTGCCCCTTAGAAACAAAAATACACATGATCTCGTAACCTTCTAACATGATTTATATTATTTACGAACAGTCGAAAAACACCCTCCGGTCGTGAAACACAGCACGTTAGTCACGAATTCGTTTTCGTCCGTATTGCGTTGAAAAAAAAAAAGAACTTATATATTTATTACATCGATGTTAACGCGATCCCACCCAACAACTGATGACCGTCGATCGTCTGATCTTGTTGATAAATTTATCAACTCTTAAGTTAAGTCTTTCTGAAACTCGTCTACCTTTGTTACTTAAAGTCTAGCTTTTATCCTGTCTCGACTTGAATTCATAATAGCTCTGCAAAACGTAGCGCAGAAAATTACTCGTATTGTCGATCGATCTACATCGTATCATAGTAAGCAAACGCCGACGTAATTTCCCAGTGCAAACGATCTACCTTCCGCCTTCCACCCATCCATGGCGCGCAACCTCTTCGAGGTTTAAACACGACGACACCGCTCGCGCGCGCGCGAATCCGAGATCGGTGACTCGTAGGAGCGGTTGCACGCTGAAAACACGAACCACGACCTAGCCTTTCGGTGATAACGTCTCTGCGCGCGTGTAAGTTGTGTGCGTGAAATTGAAAAGAAGGAAATAAAATAAAAAGAAACGCAGTTGCACAACCGATGAAAATCCTTGTTGCGACACAGCGTCGCGGATAAAGTCAGACCAAATTCACGGGCTGCACAGCTTTCTTGGAACTGAGCGGGATGCAATGGCTATTTCGATTGGCACGATAACCTTGGAGGACGGGGTACAATGTCATTCACGATGAGATCCAGCTAACTATCTGTTTAAAGCGGTTACATCGCGCGCTATCAATGGCGTAACTGCGACCGGCAATGTGCGATTATATGAAACTGCTCCGAATTCCAATTTGCGCGTCTAAGCGCGTCACTTGGAGAGATCGTAGCTAGATTTTATCACACACAATACTCTCTCAGCATTCTCTTCCGCGTGTGCGTTCGAAACGATGACTCAACGTTATTTTTATCCCCATTACGAGGAATCTTTATCGCGTAATTCATCGTGCAATTTGTTTTTTTGCCAAACAACTCGCCCTCGTTTTAATTACGCCACTACGATCGATACTGTTTGCCCGAGCTGAGCAAGTAGTTACACACATATTCTATATTAAATAGGAATGACGTGACGTGCATGGAAGTCGACTAGTAATGACGTATCTGAAAGTAAAATTACACGATAAAATCCGAGACTAAATGACATAATTCCGATTCGAATTCCTGCGTAAGTCTATTCAGTCGACAAGTTTGGAAATGATGCCTTTAATTTGTAGACGATATGATACACATACCAAGTCGGTGAAGTTAAGATAAAATTAATCTTTATCAAGTATCACAGTGTAACACTCCGCCGTGATGTGTCGCTTCTCTAAACGAAGATACGTGTTTACTTTATTGATGCTTGAAACAATACACGCTTTGTTGTTCATTCTGTCTTTGCCCGAAGCAACATTCTTTAATGGCAACTTTGATAAGTATATATACAGCTCGAGTGCCTTATCATTAAGTACTCGTAAATCATCATCACCGGCGACCAGCTTCGTCGAGAAGGCGCGTATAATGCCACGATTAGCCTTGATCTGCATTAATCTGACCTTGGGCCGAACCCCGCTCTCAATAAAAGGCACCCGTCAGTGCCAAATTTGGGCCATAACAGTCTCCTCAGCCGTTATTAATGCGTTCAAGGATTATTCTAGCGTACCAATCAAATCATCGTTTCTGGAATACGACCCAGCCAGAAAACCATCCTACGTAGTGTTTCTCGCGACTTTGGATCATACGGATACCTCCTTAGCAGCCGATTCTCGGAAGGCCTCCTTGGCCCCATGGCCCCATTTCCATCGTGCCTCCCGCGGAATAAATATAAGACATTTGGCATTTCCCGTCGATTTAACTTCCAGACTGATCTCATCCCTTTCACCAGCACGGTGTATTTTGAGCAGACCAGTTTCTGCGGACCCGAATATTACGCCTCCTAAGAAGCAAGGCAGCTACTATAGCGCAGATAGTGTCGGCTGTGCAAATTGCCCGGCCTTTTCTTTGAGCACATTTTATCAAGTAGCTGGTGGCACGTTAAAGAACCCGCCTTTACGGTTGAGGTAAAAATCACGCGTGTAGGACAGAAATCATATAAAACGTACACACCCACTTGAGTCTAGAAGTGGCCGTCCCGGTTGCGATTCTTGATCTCAGTTGCGTTAGCCTTGCCCGTAAACCGGCTCCCGACGCGAAAGTCTCCGCATTGCGCCCTCAGATCCCAGAATCTATGATATCGATTCTGCGATATTTATAACTCCAGTTTTCTATAAATATCGCGCCCCACCGCGAGGGACAGCCCAATTCGGTCAACTCGATGTCGATTACTCGGTCGGAACAACGGCGAAACAATGAACACCACGGTCACGATCACAATGAGAATTGACCATTCAGATCGGGCTCCTATGTTACTCGTTACAGATTTCGTGAGGCAGGGCCTAAGAGGAACGCAATGTCAGCAGCTGTGAAAGAACGAACGACTACGCACACCACCAGGAAAATTGTGAGTCATGGCGGTCCTATATCTGGCCAGAGAGACGGAGCAGCTACCGCCAGCAGCCTCGAAAACAACTTGGGTAAACCTTTAAATTATTTTTTCGGACTGAATCTTTTTGTCTCCAGTAGTTTCATATTTCCAAATTTTAAGGAATGACCAGTCAGCTAAAACAGCAAAAGATTTACACGTAAAAACGTTATTGCTATACAATCGTAAAACAATCAATAGCACAACTACCTTAAATCCTTCTCTCCTCTATTAATGATCAATATGACAAGATAAAAAATCCCGTAGTAATACTGTAACATTTATAATTCGACCTAAAACAATCCGGTGTAGGGAAAACTGGACACAGCTTACTTTAACGCTAATTATAGTCGTTTACGTACTCAAATCGGTACTTCTGTTCCACGTCAGAACGACATGGACGACGGCTTATCAAATGGATGTTCGTTTGGCTCTTTCAGATGCACTTCTGGAGGACTTGCAGACGAGTGTCTCGAGAAGTGCTACTCCCAGCCGGGGCGGCAAATCACTCTCGCCCCAAGTTATAGAATATCGGGTGGCCGCCAACCCCACCAAAGTAGTCTCCGAGGGCAGGTAAGAGAGAAAAAGAACGGTTTTAATTAGACGATAATTCAAGATGGAAATGGAATTTGTTTCGGTCAATTGTGTTAATATATAAGAAAGATATACAAATTAAGAATCGTCATGCAGACCCATCTCTCCGACTCGTACGAGAATGACCACTACTGAAAAGTTCGTCAGCACCGGTCCGAGTGGTACGTCGAGCGGTATACCGGGACTAGAACTTCTGGATGCAGAGCTGCAAAATGTGAGTTTTTAATTGAAATTATGTCATTGTTTAATCGTAATTAGTGTGTATCGTATCATGAAAGAAACAATAGGCAAAGTTAACCGATATAAAATCAAGAATCGTGCAAATCTAACAGATGGGTATCAGGCCATTTCTGGTTTTGAATACCCGGATGCTCGGTTATTTCAAGTAACACCTAGTGAGTATCCATGTAATACTTACGTTTGAATACCGGGTAGGCATCCGGGTATTTGAATATAGAAACTACCTGGTTTACACTGACTAGCGCGCGCTAGTAGGAGTCGCACTAGTAGGAGTTACGGTGTTCCGTTGATTACTCGACGCAGAGAATGGATATTGCCCTGAGGATAAAATTCAGGAACAGGAAAGAACGATAATCTCGACACGCGTCGCTTGAAATTACGTATCGACGAGATGCTGGTTCTTACGCTAAAAAAGAAATACACAGCCATGATTAATGCATGCAAGAAACTAGTTTCATATATCGTGCGTACTTGTTGAGATTGGCAGACGTTGCTTTTCAGCAAAAAAGAACCATTTTCATTGCTTAATTTTAATTAAATCGGGCCTGCTTAATAACGTATTAAGATCGCTTCTTGGCATAATTGACTCGATCGAGAGACAGGGAGAGAGAGAGAGAGAGAGAGAGAAAAGTAAAAGTTCGATTCATGCAAGTCACATTATTTATAAATAATAGTGAAAATCTAACTACCAGAATCATTAAATTCTTGGCACATTTATGAGCTTAGACGCGAGACTTTCGTACGATAGCGGTCAAAATTACGATTTACATTTCAAAGGTACGATTCTGCGCTATTCAGCCCGCTTGTGATTTATGAACGATGAAAAATTTTCGCGGCATCTCTAATTGGCTCGGCCTTATGGCCCGAAGGGAGAGAAAAGGAAGAACTACCGTACTGAAACGACGGTACGTCCTGCTGAGTAAAAGTGTTCAGGGCGATCCGCAATAATTGTAGTAATGACATTGCCATTTTCTACGATATATTGGGCATTAGTTAGGAAATCATGGTGAGGCGCAGGATCAGCGTTGCGTGTAACTGAGGCCGAGGTAATTGCAGCGTTCGCCGGTCGTACGACTTATGAACCGGCGTTCAATGAAAATAAATTGGCCGGTGCGTGTAATTTGCTCTCGTGCTCCTTGCGCTAGCCGGATATATCTTCAAGCTAACGGGTTTGAGGATCTTTAAGGGACGCTGCCTGTCTTTGTCCGGCGAGCTAGGACGTAACGATACCGCATACCTATAAAACGCATACCCATATATCCAGCTAGTTTGTGGGAGCTTGTGGGAGTGATAAATTTACTGCAATTCGTACTGTAATTTCGAGTGCGAAAGTAGCGCGAGACGCGCACGCGGATTGTGCCTGTGAAATGTAACAAGAAAATATGTTAATTTCATTCATAGCTCGATCGGCGTAGCTTCGACTATCGCCGTTGAGGTATTCATTGGCCATGAATCGGCTGGAATTCCGCGGAATTCAAACATCGGGAACGATTCGCCCACGCTTTTCGCGTAGAACAGTCATAATCGGAGTCTTATAAGGCGACTCTGACGCCTACTCTGTTGCGAGCCTTAATTTGTCACGATTATTTATGGAACGTTGCTGTGCACGCGAAAAACAGAAACAATGCCCGTGCGTGTGCCGGCGGTTTTACAGGATTACGAGTTTTGAGGGATTCGTGTTCTCTTGTATTTACAGGTCCAACCCGGTCAAAGCAAGACGATTGCGTATAAGCAGGTCTCATATCAGTACAATACGAACTTAGACGGTAAGCCAGGTGAGGAAATCCATACCTTGCGCTAAATTATGTAACAAGAACGCGAGAATGGCAGCGTTGTCTGACGTACATATAGTAAACATAGAAAGAAAAGTTTCGCTGAAGTTTACCCGACAACGAGCGAACTATACGTCGTATCTGCCGATGGAAACAGAATTTCCGATTGCGAGAAGCGAATTTTCCGTTTCCCCCCAAAATTTGCGCGTTTGGATCGCTCGGTGAATTCGACCAAGTATTTGTTTCTTTCGTGCGTGGTGGAATAAATAGCTGCAACGTGAAGCACGCTGCGGAACGTAGCTGGCCGCGAGAAAATCGCTTTTCCCGGATCAACGGCGAGACGGGTAACACCTCGCGTGGTCACGGCGACTAGCGCGAGCGAGCGAGCGTGTTTTAAACGATCGTGGAAGGTAGGGGAGCCGGTTGCCCGTGTCGCGCCTTAAAAGGCGCGCGGCGGCCTTGCTGGTTTACAGTTAATTGATAATGAGAAAAATGAGACAAGTATCAGATTCGAGTGTGCTGCACGCGCGCATCTCCCGAGCGATTCTAATTGCATCGGCGCGCGAGCATCGGCGAGATCGGCATTGAGAAGGTCCAGTTCCCCGCTTCCTCGCGTTCCCGCTGGTTGAGAACAACAAACGGACAGCTGATCCGGGCGGACGAGCTCCTTGAACCTACGCGAGGATGCGTCCGACACACGGTGGTTACCTCCGTATGCGAGCGGGGACGTTTTTCCTGTGTCTCTGTATTTAGCAGAGAGAGAGAGAGAGAGAGAGACGACACGATCGTGTTCTTTATACGATCACGCGTAACACACAAGCGCAGCCATATTAGGACAGCTTGTGAAGGCTGACCCGATTTCTCCCTGAAGAAAGAATGAAAGATAAGAGAGAAAGACCGCGGGGCAGGAAGAGGTAGGTCGAAGGTGGGTGAGTTATGACGCCGCCGAGAGCAAGGATGACCGTTGTCATCGGGTCAGCGGGTGAGGGTCGTCGGCCAATGTGAGACCTACGCCGGATAGGAAGAAACGATCGCCGGAGTGGAGAGCGTTGTAATCTTTCATGAATCTCGGCAGATAGAAATCTCAACGGCGCGGGTCGTCGCGACTGTGCGCGACCGTCTCGTCATCCGGAGCGCCGTGTGGTTTGACGTCCGGCAATCGTTGTCAGACTTGTTGTTGTCGTTCCGGTGTATTTTAGGAAAACGCCACTTCTGCCAGTCGTAATGATAGCGTGATGGATAATCTATTGTTCCAGATTCGTGGGTTACATCAGAAAACAAACTGCCGCTCACTGGCGCGCCCTTGATGTGAGTACACGGCTCTGCCTCATAACCGAGAGTCCCGAAATACCACCGGTTTCTGAATGGATGCCAAACGACTCGGTCGCATGACGCATCTATTTTTCTCATTGAAACGGAATAATCCGATTGCGCGCGGTCGTCCCTCTTAACGCACTTCTTGCTATTCGAGTGATGATGTTTGTTAAATCTGTACTCTTTGCAGCGACGACGTTCATGAGACCACTTACGAGGAGAGCCAAACTCCGACGACGTATCAGAGCCCGGAGCCGATTATTAAGAAATCGGTGGTCAATAGAGAACTGGTTGGTGAAAGCATATTACTCGAGGAATGGGGGATTCTTCTTTTTTTTAGCATTCGTTCCTTACTTTTATCGATATTAAATGCGAGGGGTATTTATTAATTTATCACCGTTGATGCAATTTTTTCAGGTCTACGGCGACAGCTCGACATCTCGTACGAAGCAAACCTCCCCCCTGTCGGGAGCCCAGAGGGACGTCAAGTACATTCACGAAACCAGTACGTAATTTACGTGATATCAGGGAAATTTCTCACTTCCGATCTTGCGATGCGGATTTCAAGGAATAAAGAAACGATCCCCTCGTAGGTTACCAAACGGAGCCGCGACCGGTCCAAAGCAGCACCGTGACTACGGTGCACGCGAACGCACCGCAGGAATACAAAACCATCGAGTACGTCCCGTCGCCGACTCCGACGATACCGATCAATCTAGCGCCCGGCCCAAATACAAAAGTGACCACCACGATCAAGACGTACACCTACGAGCTGCCGGGAGCGCCGGAGACGTATCTACCCGGTGGCAGTGTGCCAGGAAGCGTTGTGCTTCCCGGCGAGAAAACAATTACGTACACCCTACCGAGAAGCAGCAACATCGCGGACAAGACCGTCACCTACCAGACCATGACGGAGAATGCACCGGGCCCACCCGCCGTACCGATCAGATATAGCAGCCCGTCTCCGACCACCGATGTCACGAAAAAGTCTACCACCATTCACAAGGAGGCCAAGTTCTATCACGAGGAGCATGGAGCGTTGCCGTACGACGAGCCGCAGCCTCCCTACACCACCTATCGCGCTGGTCCGTCACCAACGAACGTGGAAAGCAAAACCACCGTAACCAAGAAGTACTACCAGGTCGATGGCAATTATCCCAATGGGCACGGGCCGGCCGATCGTCCGGATTACCCCGGTGGAAGTACGACAGTCATATATCAAAACCAACCGCCTACCGTGATGGAAACGCACACCAGGACGGTCAATCGATTCGAAGAGTACGGACCAGACAGGCCGTCCAGTGACCATCACCCACCAATCGACAAACCATCGGACACCACGACGAGGACCGTGACTACTTATTACCCGCAGCAGTCGACGCAGCCCGGCACTACGGTCTACAAGTTCTCGAATACGACGACGACGATACCGCCGAAGAAGAACGCGGACGACCACGAGGTCCTTCTGCCGAAACCGTTCCCGACTGGTGTTCAAGTGAGCCCCACTAAACCGATCACCAATGGCGAAGGACCGCCGAAGAAGCTCGAAGACCTCATGGCTTCATTCTCCGATTCCGAGGTAAGGTAACTGATGCCGTATTGTGGGCGCGTTGTAGGTCAGAAAAGTATGGAGGATACGTTTCGTTTGTTCAGCGAGAAGTATTGGAGGATATTGAAAAGCAGGAGCGTCAGAAGAAGAAGGAATCGTCGGCTGTGAAGAAAGAAGTTGATTTTGTCCCGCATACACCGCCGAAAGTGAAAAGCAAGAATGTCGCCGGGCCGCCGGTTTATTATCCTCCCGGCTCAGCGGAATTCACCAAGAAGGAAGAATCTAGCGCAGCCATGTCACAATCTGGCGTAAGTCATTGAAATCTCCATAAATGTGTTACGAAACGACCTCTCACATTCTCGATATGTGACGTCGATATGTGGACCATTCTGTATATGCGTTTCTGAAGACAACACGTCCCATCGATCGTTAAAATAATTCCGACTTTCACGGTTTTTCACTCTTTTCAGGGTGAGTGGCAGAAAGCAAGTGGAAAATATGAATACGAAGCTTCCAGCAAGAGCAAAAGCAAAAGCAGCAAGGGAGGCGCTGTCGTGCCTGTTTGCCTACCGTTGTGCTGCGCATTACCATGTGTTATTATGTAACTACTTGTTGCATTAACATATCGATACGTTAACTGCCAAGACATAAATTGGCTGACAACGTCAATAGGTTACGTGTATCACCGAAGCCAGAATAGTGGTTTTTTCAAAGGCCATTATGTACCGGTCAACAAAAGTCTGGATCCACAGTTATTGTATAGAAACTACCAGAGAAAGAGAGAGAGAGAGAGATTTGTATTGACAGCGCTACTTTATATTTACAAGTATGGCCGAGCGTAAAAGAATTATTATTTGTATGAGGAACAAAAGCGTTTGAGTACCGCCCGTGGTATAAGTGACAACGTGTTAATGTAAGCATATAACGTGGTATAAACATTTTACACTACATTATAAATGAAGAAAGGAATATAAGAGTGTATAAATTGAAAGAATCACAGAGGAAAGCTGATGTTAAAATATTTAACTGTTACATACTATTGCACACTTAAAATTTTTCCCGTGTCAACACGAGATCTGACTTTTTACATATTCTGAGATATCATGTGCTTTCTTCTCTTTCTCTCCTTCCACGGCCGGAGCATGCATCTATTGACAACAAATAGCGTAATTGAAGAAGAGACATATGCATGCATGTTAATATTTAACACGCGATGAGCTATTTATAAAAGTAAACAAGTAATCAAAACAAATTGTGCTACGTCCTAAAAAGGAATCTCGTTCGATATGCTATCAACTTTATTTTAACGTATTTATACATATGATGAAAATATCTTAACATTATATTTATTTTCTTTCTGTTATAAGAAAATATAATAAAAATGACAAATTATTAATTTTAGATTTTTTAAACATGCTACAATGTGGCATTTGTTATAACAAGATATTACAAGATAGACATGGTGCCTTTTGTAAATTCTTTAAGTATATTATATTGCTGTATACCCTATGGTTTAAACCAACAAGATAAGTCATTTAATTAATAACATGGCCATAGAATATGTTAACTGATTAAAAATTTTTATTAACAAACCGTATATTTTTGTATCTTCATTTATATCGCTTGCTACGATATGTTGTGAATTGTAGATCATATAACATTAGTAAATTGCTACTTAAATTGTTAAGGTAACATTTACATTTCCGAAAATAGTAAAGAATCTTTACAGTTTACAAAATAAATAATATTATTATTGTCATTCTATAAAAGATACAAAGAATCTTAAATTATCCCATAAATTAAGGGCTATTTACAAGAATATTCGTTAAAAGTGCATGAGTGTAAAAATACATGGCATTAGATATTGTAACAAAAGTAGGATAAATTTTTAATTACATTATACTACCGTGAATTATGGTGCTATAATAATTTTAGAGTATAAATAAGAGTATAAATGGAAAATATATCACTGCGACCATGCATATTACATATAGGATACAAGTATTATTTGTAATTATGTGTAAAAAATATAGTGCCATGTTGTGACATGTAATATTATGTGTGTATTAATATATGATAACATAATAGGTTGTACTTAATACTAATAAATTTGCCAATATTTCTAAACAATATCTTTCCATTCATGCGTTATGTCTATATCTGTATTCTTCTTTCCAGAGAAAGTCCTTTCTAATAAAAATAAATTGCATATACTGCGGCCACACAGAATATAGTGTCCTGAAAAATAGTGTGTAATTAATCCGGAAAAAAACAAATAAACAAGGATATTGCAGCCTGAGAGTCGTTTAAATGACAGAGGAAGAGTGAAAAAATTGAGATAAAATTTATCTCATTCTTACATTGATAAAACTATCATAAGCATACGTGTCAGCTTCGGCGTCCCAAATACATCTTGTACCTACTTTAACACCAGCACCATGCTGCTGTCCCAAAATCACATTGACAATGTATTTGTATCTTTTAAAATGTAGATCTATAAACATGTCAAATAAATATATGATACACATTTATTGTAAAGTTTCAAACATAATAAATTATATGTAACAACTTCCAGGCATATGCGTGAGAAAACTAATTATTACTTTTGATTTTTCCTTCAATAATATCTGCTATATCTTTGGTCCATTGTGCAGCTGCTTGTGCATCATATGATCTTGCGGCCAGTTGATCAAATAACACATCATGTATTATCTCCTTAGCACTTAGAGGTTTAAACCTGTCAACGTTGCTTTAATTTTAATTCAATTCGATTATACATTCCAGAGGAATATCAGATTTTTAAATCATACATTAGATTTGCGTTAATTTTAAAAGTAAACAGACTTGTCTCTTGTGATTGTTGAAATTCGTAAAAATATAAAATTTGTAAATATTAAATAAAGCGGCTTACTTTTCATACATATGTGGTCGAACTTGATAAACAGGTTGCTGCGCTATTTCGCTCTCAACATCCTCGAAAACCTTTGAATTCGCGTCTTTCTTTTCCATCTCTTTCTCTTGTGCGGACTCATGTTTTGCAAGATGTGACGTCTGCTCCGCTTCTGCCATGTATTTACACTTACGACAATGCAGCAATCTACAGTCTTGTCAAATCACTATATTGAACACACATAATATGAGACTGTTGGAGATTTAGAAGTTATTGTCAAGAAAGGTAACCATTGGATACCACGCTTATATTTGTTGTTATATTCTCAGCCTAAAGTTAGCCTCACACAGTGCATGATTCATTCACAGTTTCTACTTATTTACACGCTGGTTGATTCGTTGCCTGAAGCACTGCGTATTGGTTGGTCACGACCTGGAACAATCTTTACTAACGCTAGACGGGGCATAATATACTAGCATACAGCCAATCAAAGGGCAGAATAGGAAGTAGACATATCACGTGAAGCCAGTTCTAGGTAGTTTATCTAATTTAGTGCCAGAATAGTTTGTACTTCTTGTAGCTATATTGTCATGGACTTTCTGCGCTTAAAATAAAGGAGTAGCTATTTGTGAAGAGAAGAATACAAACAAGTATGAAATATGCCGTAAAAATGAAACAGATATATTTATCTTGATTGTTTATGTTACCTGATATGTTATTGTTTCGAATACCATGTAAAGGATAAGGAAGGACGGAGCATGCAATCCATTCAGATAAAATTTGGAGCAATAATAATGTGATAGAATTGTTCAGTTTTGATAATATAAAACATTAAAATGTCCAATTAATTTTTGATAGTATATTATTGTGTAAGATAAAATGTTTTTTTTCAGAGACATCGTATCAACGGTACATCATAATTAAGAAAGTGTTAGAATAAAAGGTTTGTAATGTATTAATAGAAAGTTTGAATGTTTTCAAGAATCGTTATTATTTCTTGCTTTGATTATGAATTTGATTGACTGATTCTGGTTGCTTTTTATAGAAAAGGAAGAGAATGCCACGTGGAAATGTAATGTTTGACTATAACTCCTACACTCCTAGCACATGTTGCTTGTACTATCATTGTATGTGTTAGCACTGTGTTGATTGTTTGCTTTTTGATAATCTACTTCACGATTCGACTGGATATTTGACAAAATTATGAGTTTGTACGTTTGACTGAATTCTATGTTGTCCCTTGTTGAAACCTGTCTGATCATGTGTATTTTCTTAATTTGAATATTAAAACATTATTAAAACACCATTAAAATACAATTGAACATTATTAAAACATTATTAAAATATTACTGTTTTATCAGTATTTTTTCTGTTATCATCATTAATAAAAGAAACAACTTCTTTCAATATTAATCTTAATTCTATTTTGAATCATTTATTCTATCTTATATTTTACAAGGTAAGTTAAAATAAATGTTCCAATAATCTCATATTTCATTTCTCTCTTATTTGAAGATATTAGTTATAACTTGGTTGTTTAAGCCTCCAGAAATGTTTAAAGTACCTAAACACTTGAACAGCACAAAACAGAATATCTTTTACTTAATACTAACAATTGTAGAATTTACAACTTATAAAGTATATATTTTATTTTTATTCAAATGACATTGTAAAAGTTCGAGTTTTTAAATAATTTGCCGTCAGCTGCTACATTGTGTGTGCAATATATTAATATCTCGATAAGACTACGGCAGAAGGATTACGTGAACGCAATAGTAAGCCTTGTTCTTTGTCTATGTATAAAGTCTTTCACTATTATTTCGTCTTCTAGAATACTTGTTTCGATTAGTTCTACATTTAACTCCTCCAACACAGCGAAGACACATTCGCCGAGAAATTTTACTTTTTCGATGAGTCTTAACAAAAAAAAATATCCTTTTTATCATTCGCGTTTGTTAACGCTTTGTTGAAGCTCTATTACATAACTATAGTTAACTTTTGTTCAGCCCTACCATTCTTTATTTTATATTATGAATATTATTTTTTTATGATATTTTTCCATCAGTCCCATGCGTGTAACGTGATATGAATGACTTACATAGCCGAAAATCTCGTAGATCCAGCTTTCCACATTATTTGTGAAAAATTGTTCGATAAATTGATAAAAACTGTATTGTAAGCGTCTATCTCGTCGGACCAATCGCTCTTCAAACGCGCTTTGATGGTCTTCAGTTCAATTATCTGCAGCTTAAATTGCACGACAGTTCTCGAGATACTCTCTTTATTTAAATGTATAATGCAAGAATCCTTAGTATGAGTTTTTCACTTCAGACATCATTAAACAAGAACGGTTGTAGCATGGGGGATGACCAAGAACCTTAATTTATTCTCTGTCGAAGTATTTCGGTGCTTGTGAGACCAAGTATTTTATAGATGATAGCAAGCAACCTAATATTCTCAAAATCAAAGAAAAAATGATACGTGCAGTTAAAAAAGAATCAGCGGTTTTACGTGTAATAATTGAAGATGACCCGAGGAGCTAATCTCGATTTTTTGTTGCGAAATGTACTGTGAAACTGTATCAGTCATATTAGTTCAATGTACCAGACATTTCTTGGTACAGATAACCACAAGAAGGAGTTCAAAACAGATACGTTGCGAAAGAAATTTTGCATATCTACATTCCACAGATTGGATATCAAAAATGTTAAACAAATATGTTAAAGATTCATAGCCTATCTGGAAATATATGACTGAGCTGCGTATTTACGCACGATAGTAGCATATAGAATTCCAGAATTTAAATTTTTCCTCTTGTTGAATTTAAATTCTTACCTATTACGTATTGTATACGCGGCATGGAAATGAATCGCAGCTTTTTCCTGAAGGACGAAAAATACCATTGAATTAACCAATTCTATTTTTATCGTCAGAAAATGACGTTACTTTCAATAAAAGAATTGCGCAAATGACTAACTTCGCATAAGTCATGTGCGTTTCTTATGCGGATATCTGAATATTATTTGAGTTATTTCTACATAGAAATTATTATACGTTTATTATCTTTAATGTGTTCATATTAAAGATTATTTTTAACATAGCCCTTTTTCCGAAGTTTTAATGTCGAAATAGTTATTTGATAAGTCAATGATTCAAGTGAAGTTTAAAAATGTTTATTCACGTTGTAACTTTTGAACAGTTTATATTTAGCCTCTAACAAATAAATCAGTATCCATATTAAAAATCTACAGTTGTATTCATTATTGTTCTTTTTAAGAATGTATTTTGATTAAAAATATAAATTTGTAATAAAATACTATTTTTTTAACAAAACCAAATTTTTAAAGTTATTTTAATAAGAGGCCACATTATCATATCTATTTCTCTTCAATCATTACGCACATTTTTATAAATAATGCCTTAAGTAATAAATATTTCATAACATTTAATCTAGAGTCGATTGAAAAACATTTTGATAAAAGAAATTGTTAAATTAAAAATATTAATGATTAATAAAGTTATTGTAAAAAAATGTAAGTGGGAAAACACAATACTATCTTCCCTCTATAACAAAGTAGCAGCGTAACGATATAAATATCGTACCGATTCGCAATAAACACATCCAAAATGACTTTCTTGGTCTACAAAAAAGATAATTAATGCTAGTGTACAAGGAAAGAATTAATGTTGAATATTCATGAAAGTCGAAACAATATATCATTTATAATTTATTTGCATACATTAATATTAATTAGCTGCCAAAAAGAATCTACGCTTTAAATTTCTTTGTTTAGAATGCTATGCCATTATTTATTAGACAAATCTGACAATAATCTCTCCTTCTAGTTAAGATGCCAGTAAATCTTTTACGTATCATAAGATAGGATATAGGAAATAGTTTCTATCATAGACCAAATATAAATCGTCACGATACTAGCGACGGTATATAATCGAAAAAGCTCAGCAAGATTCAGCCACTTACTCGTCGACCATTGCCGAGGAAGAATTTACCGGAGTTAAGATGGCGAAGCAAGTACAAGTTAAATATACTAAAGTAAGTCGAATGATATCTAGCATTTCATTGAGTTTTCAAATATTTTTCTCGTTTAAATCCACAATAGCGCGTCGTCTTTTAATCGAATATGTGAAATATTTCTCCATAGCTTTTTATCAACAATGAATTTGTGAATTCTGTGAGCGGCCGTAAATTTACTACAATAAACCCTACCAATGGCGAAGTCATCGCCGAAATTTCAGAAGGAGATAAGGTAAAATT